TTACTTTTTCCTGGGTAAGTGATGAGGGTGTGAGCTGTGAAGTGGCTGTGAAGGAACAGATGGAATAAATAAATTTAGGTCCGTAGTGTTGCGAAGACTGGTGATTAGCCGTGGGGAGTAAAGGAAGGCTTTCTGTTTTCTGATGTGGGGTTGAGTGGATGGAATTGCCAGACACAGCATTGCGGCAGCCTCAAGGAAGAGGAGCAAGTCTAGGGAAGAGAGCTTATTCTTTCGGCTGCAGAGAGAAGAGGCACACCTGGCTGCCCAAGCCTTCGCCAAGAACCAGGGCCCATTGGTGGTGGTTTGGGAGGGGGTGTGATACAAACATTCAGACTGTGCTAGAGGAGCACAAGCTGTGGCTATTGAAAGCTTCTGCAAGAAGATGACCTTGAAGGTTTGTTGGATGCTGGCAGATGGAGAGAGCAGACACAGACTGCTGGGAATGGTAGGGAGCACGTGGGGTGTGCAGGCAAGGGTGGAAGTCTGCAGCCTGGAATATTTTGTGTGGCCTGAGTCTTTGGTTTAAGCTTGATAGGCAGGATTAGGAAGGGGGTTGAGGTGTGTGGTAGTCAAGCTCAGAAGTTAATCTGGAATTAGATGTAGGAGGGGTCTGGGCTGGGGCTGGAGCCTGGGCAGGTTTAGTTTGGGACAGAGAGCTCCCAACTCGTGTGATTGCCCTCATGGTCTTTCCCAATACCCACAGGCAACAGGACCTGTATCGGATCCTTAAGGCCTACACTATCTACCGGCCCGACGAGGGCTACTGCCAGGCCCAGGCCCCCGTGGCCGCAGTGCTGCTCATGCACATGCCTGCTGAGGTCAGCATACTCTGGTCCTGGTTGGGGGCGGGTGGGGAGGACCTTGGCCTACAGTGGTGAGGGGGGAGCTCTCTCGCCATTTCTCAGGCCCCTCCCTCCTTGTTTTTGTTGTTCTTCAGCAAGCCTTTTGGTGCCTGGTACAGATCTGCGATAAGTACCTTCCGGGTTACTACAGTGCAGGGCTGGTGAGTATTGGAGGGCTTGGTACAGCAGGCTGTGACTTTTCCCCAAGGAGGTCCTTATCCTGCCCCACACTCTGCCCTTCTGTCCCCTCTGCTCTGGGCCTTTCTCACTGAGGTGAGGTGAGGACCCCCTACTCAAGGACCACAGTAGGCCCCTTCTCATGGCTCCTCTCATTTCAGGAGGCCATTCAGCTTGACGGAGAAATCTTTTTTGCGCTGTTGCGCCGTGCCTCCCCACTGGCACACAGACACCTGCGGCGGCAGCGCATCGACCCCGTGCTCTACATGACAGAATGGTTCATGTGCATCTTTGCCCGCACCCTGCCCTGGGCTTCGGTGCTGCGGGTCTGGGATATGTTCTTCTGTGAAGGTACATTTGTAGGGGTTTTCGTGGTGCCTACCAGCGCTTGTTGGGTCTGGGGGTTGGAAACTGAGGCCACCAGCACAGAGCCTACTCTCCCTTTCAGGAACCGGAAACCCATGGCAGCCCATTTCTCATCTTGGGACCTCAGTTTCCTCATGTGTGCGGTTTACAGTAGATAGTGTTGGGAGCTGTGAGTCCCTCCTACATGGGACATGCTGAGATCACAGGCATGGTCACCAGTGCCGTCTTCTCCACTCTGCAGGCGTAAAGATCATTTTCCGGGTGGCCCTGGTGTTGCTGCGGCACACACTGGGCTCAGTGGAGAAGCTGCGTGCCTGCCAGGGCATGTACGAAACCATGGAGCAGCTGCGCAACCTGCCGCAACAGTGCATGCAGGAGGACTTTCTGGTGCATGAGGTAGGCACGAGAGGCTTTGGCAAAGCCCAAAGCTGCTTCCGGCCATCCCCACCTCATCTGCATTTTGGTACCCATTTCTTCTTCATCTAGGTGACTACCCTCCCAGTGACGGAAGCACTGATTGAGCGAGAAAACACAGCCCAGCTCAAGAAGTGGCGGGAAACCCGGGGGGAACTACAGTATCGGCCCTCACGGCGACTACATGGCTCCCGGGCCATCCATGAGGAACGCCGGAGGCAGCAGCCACCCCTGGGCCCCTCCTCTAGCCTCCTCAGCCTCCCCGGCCTCAAGAGCCGGGGCTCCCTGGCAGCTGGAGGGTTCCCATCTCCACCCCCTCCTTCCCACAGGGCCAGTGTTGGGCCTGCCCCAGGGCCTGTGGTCACTGCTGAGGGACTGCACCCATCCCTTCCTTCGCCCACTGGTAACAGCACCCCTCTGGGCCCCAGCAAGGAGACCCGGAGGCAGGAGAAGGACCGGAAGCAGGAGAAGGAACGGCAGAAACAGGAAAAGGAACGTGAGAAACAAGAAAAGGAGCGTGAGAAAGAGCGACAGAAACAAGAGAAAGAGCGGGAGAAGCGGGAGAAGGAGCGGCAGAAGTGGGAAAAGGAGCTGGAGAAGGAACAGCAGAAGCAAGAGAAGGAACGGCAGAAGCTGGAGAAGAAGGCCCAGGGCAGGAAGCTCTCACTGCGGAGAAAGGCAGATGGGCCTCCAGCCCCGCAGGATGGTGGGGAAAGGTCCTCAGCCTCTGAGACCCGGCAGGACGCTTACTTCTGACCTCTGCTCTGGGGCTGGACTGCATGGCCCCCTCTTTTCCCCTCAGCCAAGAGCAGACCCCTCAGTAGGCTGTCCCTCTTTCTGAGGAAAGATTCCCCATCTCCTTGCCAGCTGCTGATCCCTTCACAGCCAGGACAGTCAGTGCATGGGGCAGCTGCACTTCCCGAGGCAGCTGTCGAACAAGTCTGGAGCCCCTCACCTCGTTAGGTCCAGCTGGGGTCTCTCTCCTGCCCCAGTTCCCTTTGGGGTCCCTTTCCAGGTGCTGTCCTGATTGGCCTTTTGTCACCAAAGGGGTGACTCTTGGCAATGGGGGAGTCAGAAGTTTTCAGATTCTTACACTCCAGTTGCTCCCCTTACCCATGAAGTGGGGTAGGTTCCTTTTTCTTTCCAGTCCTGCCTGCCTCCCCCACTTCCTGGCTGGGGGCCTCCCTGACTTCTGGACATCTCTGTGTTGTAATTATGTATAAAGGACCTGGTTGGCTCAGGGGTGGGGTGTTCGCTTAATCTTCTGTCCTTTGGTTCTCCTTCCACAACGTTCTTGCACTCTATTTAAGGGGACATGCACTGGAACAGGAAATGTCCCCCACTTCCTCACCCACTACCCTCTGCTCTCTTTCCTATCCACCTACCTTTCTCTGTATTCTCATGCCTCCCCTGCTCTGCCTCACCGGGACTCCCACCTTTCACCTATTTCCTTCTAACCCTCCAGGCCCTATTTGGAAAAGGGGTCTTTTCTCGAGCTCCAGGGGGTGGAACCCAATGTTTACATTCTCTTCTGTATCTGCCCCCACCCCATGTGGCGCTTTGAGGAACCAGAAAAGAACCTGCTATTATACCTGGGCATGTCTTCTGCCTTGTTATTTGATGAAGGGGTTAGAATAAGGACTAGAGGCGGGGGGAGCAAGTGATGAGTGAGCCAGGATCTATTAAAGCAGTTGGCTGGTCTCGACAGGGAGGTACCCCTCGGCCTTTAGTCCCTCTCTCAGTCATTCATCAACAAACAGCGGTTGAGCTCCTGCTCCATCTTTGCCTGGGATCGGCTGCCTCCATTGGTGCTGTCCTCCTGAAGCCCTCTACGTATCACTTGCAGCGCCCGGATCTCCTTCCCAAAGCGCTCATGCAGCTCCTGGAACCTGGAGTGGGGACTGAGGGTGGCTAGAAGGCCACAGTCCTGTGGGGGGAGGGGGATGTGGGAGTCAGCTGGGTTCTTGGCCAGCTGCTTGGCACAGCTTTGGTACTGAGGGGGAAGTAGCACAGCTAGTTGCCTCCAGCTCACCCCAGCCTGAACCCACAGCCAGGTTCCCAGCTCCTGGTTTTCTGCTTCCAGCTTGGACTGCCCAACTTCTGTGCCCTCTACCCCAGGGGTCAGGATGGTAAAGGCATAGGGTTCTGTGGCCCCAAAGCATGGCTCCACCTGGCAGTTCTCCAACAGAATGAGGCCCAGGGGCATGCTGTCTGCCTGGTGCTCCTGGGAGGAGAGGTTTCCCCGGAAGATGAACCAGAGACGCTGGTAGCCGGTATTCTGATCCCCCTTCGTTAGCATGACGCCCTCCTGTCTGGAACCTGTATTCCGTACCTGTGGGGGAAACAGCACAGACTTTGGGTGCAGTTTCATGGTGGTATATCCTGGGGGAAACGGCCGGAGTGGTTCATCTTGTTACCCTGGGGACCCCCATGCTGCCCTCCTGTGGTTCCAGTAGGCTCTTTGGGCACAGCCTGAGCTTAGTGGGATTCAGACTCTTGAATCTCCCCCAAAACTAGGTCTTGTCCCCGCAGCATGAAGACCCGATTCCCTACCACAGCTCTGCCTCTTGGGCCAGATTACAGAACCTGGGAAGGGCCCTGTTTGCTAAGACCGGTCTTTATTCCGTGGCTGTGGAAGGAGAGAGGCCCTGATGCCCGCTCCCAGGTCTACCTGAGATCTGGGCCCAAGGGGTGCCCTTTCCACGTCAGAAACCTGGAACTAGCGGGGGCTAGGGGGCGGGGTAAATTAAGGGAGCCGAGTCTGGAAAGAGCCCCACAGCGGCCAGGGGCCTCCAGCGGGCCATCGGGAGGGCCGGGCTTACCCCAGGGAGAGGAGCAGGACTGGGCCGCGGCCTAGGAGAGGGCGGGTGGCTGGACGCCGAGTGGGAGAGAAGGATTTCCAATGGGTGGTGCGGCGCGCAGAGCCCTCGGCCGGCCTGAGGAAAGGTGGCGCAACCTTAGAAAGAGGAACTAGGGCAGGAACCCATTGGCCCTGCTCGGATTTCTCTCTACAGTGACCCTGGGCGCCCCTCTGTCTCCCCAGAGCCTCTACTGCTGTGGGAGGGAGTGAACCCAGCTGGCGGTCATCCCTCTCGAGAGTCCACAGTCCCGCCTTCCCGTCGTATTCCCCAAACAGTCACTTCTGAGGGGCGGGGGTGTCCTCCCCGCTCCACACGAACTCTCGCTCGCTCCGTCAGTTGGTCCCCACCTAGAGCGAAGCCACTTCCGGTCTTCACAGTTCTCTTCCGGGTGAAGGCCGGCGCCCCGGATGTAGCCCTGGCGCGAGCAGCTCCGCTTCCCTTTGCCAGGCTGCCCGGGGGCTCAGGTGAGCGCCGGCGGCCGCTCGGTCCCCGTGGCTCTGCCGCTTCTCAGTGTGCACGTAGCCCGCGGGTTGGGGGGCAGCCCGCGGCGGAGTTGGGAGTTCGGCGCAGGGAGGAGCGGGGAGACCAGGCGCCAGGTCCTAGGTCCTCGCGGGCCTCACGGATCCGAGGGGGCTGGTGGAGGAGCGGGTGTCAGCCCGCGGGCCGCGCCGCGACCGGGGCTGCGGGAGCCAGGCGGGGTGGCCGCGTGAGGAAGCCGGTCCCCTGGCGTCCAGGGTGGCGGTGCCGGTGGGAGCTCCGCCGTGTGCTCACCGCTCGGACCCTGCTCCAGCAGATCTTCTGGGGCCCAGGCCGGGTGCCGGGGGCCTCCTGTCCGCCAACGCCCCTTTCGGCCTCTCCTTCCTTGCTCATTCCCCGCCAAACCGGACCTAGGACGTGCGGGGGGGATGTCTGTGGAGCGGAGGGCCCTCTTGCGGTGAGTGTCCTCGCCCAGTCCCTAATCTGCACCTTTTCCCTCAGCTCGGTCTGGGGAAGACCCCTCTGTCCCGCCATGTCGAAGAGGAAAGTGACCTTCCAGGGCGTGGGGAGTGAGGATGAGGAGGATGAGACCAGTGCTCCCAAGAAGAAGGTGAGGAGGCCAGGCTCCTGGGTCCTGGGGAGGAAAAGGAACTGGAAGCCCGAAGCGGAGAAACGTTTGGGGGAGAAGGAAAGGGCAAGCTTTTTCATGTTCTCTGAGAAATGGGTTTGGAGAATTTTTTTCATGTTGGGTCCAGATCCTAGCGCATTTTGAGGAACAGTTGGGTGCTAAAGAATAAAAATAAAAAATTAGCCCTAGCTGGTTTGGTTCAATGGATAGAGCGCCGGCCTGCAGACTGAAGGGTCCCAGGTTCTATTCCGGCCAGGGGCATATGCCTGGGTGCGGGCTGGATCCCCAGTAGGGGGCGTGCAAGAGGCAGCCTATCAATGATTCTCTCACCATTGATGTTTCTATTTCTACCTCTCCCTTCCTCTCTGAAATAAAGATAATATATTTGGGGCGGGGGGGAAGAAAAAATAATAATACTTTTTCTCCCACCTTCAAGTTCTTGTAGCTGGGCCAATGATCAAATTAACTGGGGGAAATAAAATTTTAATACATGCACATGGGAAATTCACGTAAGCATGAAAATTCTAGACAGTGAGGCAACATTAGGTATATATGACATTTTGGACAAAAGAGTAAAATGGCTTCTTATTTTTATTTAAAACAAGTTTTTAAATTAATTTCAGAGTGGAAGAGAGAGGTAGAGGAAGATAGAAATATCCTATATAATAAAAGTCTAATATGCAAATCGACTGACCAACAGAATGATGGGCAGAACAACTGTTTGCTTTGATGCGTACTGACACCAGGGGGCAGACGCTCTGCAGGAGCTGCCTCCAGTTGTGGCAGGGGGCGGGGTTGGCAAGTGTGCGGCACCAGGCCAGCCAAGGTGGGTGCCAGCGGGGGCCTTCCGATTGCCCCACCAGTCACCCTGCAGATCTCCCTGGTCGCCAGCCAGGCCTAGGGACCCTACCTGTGCATGGGTTTCGTGCACCGGACCTCTAGTCAATGATAAGAGAATCGATTGGCTGCCTCCTGCATGCCCTACACTGAGGACTGAGCCCACAACCTGGGCGTGTGCCCTGACTGGGAATTGAACCTCGATCTTTTGGTTCATAGGTCGACACTCAACCACTGAGCCACACTGGCTGGGCAGCTCTTAGTTTTCAGAAGTGAGAATTGGGCACTTGACAGGTAGTTGAGGAACAGCAAATACACATGGCAGGCAAATTCTTGCTAGGCAACTCAAGAAACAGTGAGTCACAGGGACTCTAGCTAAAAGCTGTCTTATTTACCAAGCTTAATTCAAATTAGACTGAGGTGAACATCCTAAGATTTCCTCCCTGTAAGGGGTTTCTCTTATCTGAATCTATTGGGCAGGAAAGCAGGGAGGGCTAAAGGTTCTTTCTGAGCCTTGTTTCTTAATAGCTTAAAATTAATATTCCAAAAAGGCAGTTTCAGGTTGGCAAGACTTTGGTTCCCTTCAATAACCAGTAACCTGCATCTGTGGACTGTCTGGCTCCTGCTCACAGCTGGTGGACCCTGTGGCTGGGGCAGGAGGTCCTGGGAGCCGCTTCAAAGGCAAACATTCTTTGGACAGCGATGAGGAGGATGATGAGGAGGAGGGGTCCAGGAAATATGACATCCTGGCCTCAGAGGATGTGGAAGGTGAGTTATCCCCAAGAACTGACTGCTGGGGGGACAATGGAAATTCCTGTCTCTGGCATGCCAGCATGGACACCTGTGTCTTTGGTGCAGGTCAGGAAGCAGCCACACTCCCCAGTGAGGGAGGTGTGCGGATCACACCCTTCAACCTCCAGGAAGAGATGGAAGAAGGTCATTTTGATGCTGATGGCAACTACTTCCTCAACCAGGATGCTCAGATCCGAGACAGCTGGCTGGACAACATTGACTGGGTGTGGCTCAGGGGCTGGCATGGCTGGGGCCTGGAGGCAGCAAGTGCTTGGGCCCTACTTGCAGTTTGTAGGAAATAATTCCCCCCCCCCCCCCCCCCAATTTTCACATTACAGGTGAAGATCAGGGAGCGGCCACCTGGTCAGCGCTCACCGTCAGACTCAGAGGAGGAGGACGGCCTGGGCCAGACACCATTGAGTGCCCAAGCCCTCCTGGAGGGCCTTCTGGAGCTGCTGTTGCCAAGAGAGACAGTGGCTGGGGCACTGAGGCGTCTGGGGGCCAGAGGAGGAGGCAAAGGGGAGAGCAAGGGGCCCGGGCGGCCCAGTTCCCCCCAGCGCTTGGACCGGCTGTGCGGTCTGGCCGACCAGATGGTGGCCCGAGGCCACCTTGGTGTTTATCAGGAGACGAGAGAACGCTTGGCCATGCAGTTGAAGGGGTTGGGGTGCCGGACGCAGGGACCCCTTGACTCCACGCCCAAACCTTCTCTGGACATGTTTGCTGAGGAAGTAGCAGAAGGGGAGCTGGAGACCCCAACCCCTGTCCAGCGAGGAGGTGAGACTTAAGGGCAGAGGTGGGGTGTTGTGGCAGGGGCAGGACACTGGAAGCCCAGATGGCTTTGCTTGCTATTTCAGAAGCAGAGTCACCAGGACCCGGTCTGCTGGATGTGATGTGGGAATATAAGTGGGAGAATACAGGTGATGCTGAGCTATACGGGCCCTTCACCAGCAGCCAGATGCAGGTAAGCCCCATCTGCCTCTTCTCTCCGCTCCCTGCCCTCCCTCAGTCCTCCTCCAGTTCTGCCCTCTCTTCCTGCAGACTTGGGTGAATGAAGGCTACTTCCCTGATGGTGTGTATTGCCGGAAGCTGGACCCCCCTGGTGGACAGTTCTACAACTCAAAACGAATTGACTTTGACCTCTACACCTGAGCCTTCCTAGGACCAGCTAGTGGCTCTTTCTTTCCTGGACTCTGGAGGAGGCCCCAATTGCCTCAGGCAGTGAGAATATTGGGGGCCACTTTTCAGTCAGTTTCCTTCCCCAATAAAAGCCTATAGTTGTGTATTAGGTCCTTGACTGTCCTGATGGCCAGAAGCCAGGGACCTCCACAGCCCCTTTGGATTTGGCTCTGCCCCTGAGTATTTTCTCATGAACTTTCTCTTGGAGAGTTTCTGGGTTTTGTTTACCACTCCTAGGGGCAGAGCCCAGGCTGTCGGTGTCCTGTGGCCTCCCCACCTGGACTGCCCACCCTCGGAAAATCCCTTCACTCCCGTGTCACTCTCCAGGATTGGGACCTCCTGTGTCCTGTTCCTAGGTCGTTGGCTTTTAGGACCTCAGTCTCTGTCCTTGCAGCCAGGATAGGATAGAGCCGGAAGTGGAGATGTCAGGCCTTGCAGGGCTGGAGCATCTGTTGAGTGTGAGCAGGAAGCCTGGTATTCACTGGTTCCCACTGTCTCAAGCTCCTTAGGCGAAGTGCAAACTCAGCGTTGGCACTTGAAGGACCCTTGAAATAATAAAAAGTAATTTAAAAAATCTCTCTAAGACCAATGACATAACCTGGGACAACTGCCCATTGAACAAGCACTGAGGGGCTGTCCCTCACTGGAGGTGACAGTGAATCAGAGGGTTGGCACAGACCCAATGGGCTCCTTTCCCAAACCTTTCTTGGTACCTCCCCAGGGGTAACTGCCTTGGGAGCCAGGCCGTTGTTCTCCACTGGGCCACACAGTGGAAACACCCAGGAGCTTTTAGAAGACCCAGCCTCCAGGCCATTACCTGGAGGTGTTTTCTGCCTGGCATTTGAGGCCCTGAAGCTTATATTTTCTGGGTTCCCACAGTGTGCCTAGCACAGGACTGATGGCCTTGAGGGGACTAAGATAACTGAGCTGGTCCCTTCCAGGAATTCAGAGTTGTGGGGGTGAGGGAGTGGGGTGGAATTATACCATGTCTCAGGTATAATTCTATAAGACCCCCCCCCCCCAATCCCTCCACTTTTCACCTTGGCTGGCCATCGGGCTCTCATGGGGAGCTGTCAGCTTACTTCTCAGAGAATTGAATGAGTTGCTCTAGGACCTAGTTTCTAGGTAATGGCCTGGAGGCTGGGTCTTCTAAAAGCTCCTGGGTGTTTCCACTGTGTGGCCCAGTGGAGAACAACGGCCTGGCTCCCAAGGCAGTTACCCCTGGGGAGGGAGTTCCTGCACCTCTGGCAGCCTAGCTGATCATGTGTGTGGCCAGGGCTCTGGTGGAGCTGATTAGTTACTGGAGAGCTGAGCACCAGAGGCCGGGGACGAGGGGATACCTGATGCTCTAGTGAGGCCCCCAGTTTTTATAACAATCACACCCACTCTAGTGCTGAGCTAGACCTCGTTTTCATTGACTCCAAGATGCCTTGGGTTGAAAACGGTTTACTTCGTGTCATTAAAAAGGAAACCCTACCAATTACAGTTGTAGTGTCATCCATTAAAAAGTGCACCGTGATGTCAGAAGCGTTCAGGAGTGCGAAGTAGGTCTGTAAGGCCAATGAAGTAAGTGTCCGCCTGTATGTCCCCTGTGCCTGATTCATGGGCGGTGCTTAGTGTTTGGTGACCGGATGGCAGGAAGCTGATGGACAACGCCCCAGGCACCTTAGGCTCCACCTGCTCAGAGCTGTTCACCTCCCTGATGACACCCTTTGTGGGCAGGATAATTGCCCCTAAAGATGTCCACATCCTCAATCTCAGAACCTGTGCATATGTGACCTTATGTAGCAAAAGGGACTTTGCAGAAATGATTGACTTTGAGATGAGGTTATCGTGGATAATTGAGATGGGCCCGATGTAATCCAGGGTCCTATGTAGTGGAAGGGCATCAGGAGGTCATGTGAAGGAGGTGAGGACGTTGCACTGCTGCTGGCTTTGAAGGTGGAAGGGCCGTGTCAGGAATGCAGTGGCCTTAGCAGCTGGAAAAGGCAAGAAAATGAACAAATGTAGCTATTGACGGGACTTGGCCCAGTGATAGTACTTGTGGATTTCCGACCGCTAGGCCTCTAAGATAAGATGTGTTGTTTTAAACCATTGAGTTTGTGGTCATTTGTTATAACCCCGATAGGAAACCAGCCCACACCCCATCTGCTGACTGCCTCTCCCCTTAATGAATATCCCTGTCTTCCGTGGCCATGTCTCAGGCCACTATCAGCACTTAACTCACTTGCTTTATTTTTATTTTTATTTATTTTTATTTTTAAAAAAATATATTTTATTGATTTTTTACAGAGAGAAAGGGAGAGAGATAGAGAGCTAGAAACGTCGATGAGAGAGAAACATCGACCAGCTGCCTCTTGCACACCCCCTATCGGGGATGTGCCTGCAACCAACGTACATGGCCCTGACCGGAATCAAACCTGGGGCCTTTCAGTCCGCAGACCGACACTCTACCACTGAGCCAAGCCGGTTTCGGCTTAACTCACTTGCTTTAAAAACAAACAACTTGTATATGTGTCAATTAAAAAATTTTTTTTATTGATTTTAGAGAGAAAGAGAGAGAGCAATGATGAGAGAATCATTGATCGGCTGCCTCCCCCACACCCCTTACTGGGAGCTGACCCTGCAGCCAGGACATGTGCCCTCACTGAGAATCGAACTGACCTGGTTCATAGGTTGACGCTCAACCACTGAGCTACACTGGGCTATGTAAATTTTTTATTAAGTAAGCTTTTTATATTTTACAGTAGTTTTGTATATTTACAAAAATTTTACAAGAGTAGTACAGAGTTCACTGTTTCCCATTAACATCTGTCAGTGGTACATCTGTTAAAACTAACAAACCAACAATGTTACTATTTTTACAGTTATTGAGCTATCCACCCATTTGGTTTTTAGTATATTCAGTGTTGTACAAGCATCACAACAGTCTAATTTTGGAACATTCTTGCCTAAGAGCAACCCCACCCATTAGCAGTTCCCCCTCACCCTTCAGTCTCTGGCAACCTCTAATTTACTTCTGTGGATTTGCCTATTCTGGGCTTTCATACAACTGGAGTCGTACAATATGTGGTCTTTTGTGTCTGCTGCTTGCACTTGGCATGTGTTCAAGATTCTAACACGTAACAGTGTCTTATCTGTTTGTTGTTGAATAATGTTCTATTGTATGGATATATGATATTTTACTATCCATACTTAATATGGGTTTTAATTTTAAGTATTCTCTAATGCCCTTTATCTGTTTCAGAATCCCCTCTAGGATATCACATGTTTGTTGTCATACCTCTTTAGTTTCCTCTGGTGTGACAGCTTCTCAGACTTGTTTTTGCTGGCCTTGAAAGTTTTGGAAGCACTGGTTAAGTATTTTGTAAAATATTCCTAAACTTTGGGCTTGTCTGGTATTTTTCTCATGATTAGATCTGGGCTGTGGGTTTGGGGGAGGAAGATCCTTGAGGTGAAGTTCCTTGTCTTTTCCTGAAAACCTGCATGGCTCCACATCGCCCTCAGACTGAAGTTTCCAGGCTTGAAGCTGGCTGAGAGGCCGTGCGTGGCCTGGGGGAACCAGCCCCTCCGTTTCCACATCTGCCCGTTTCCTTTCTCCCTTATCTCCCCTGACTCCTCCTGTTCCCAGAGCAGGCAGCTCATCTCCTTCTCCAGGCTGCGCCCGGGATGCCTTTCTCTTCCTGACCACCGGGGGGAGCAGTTACAGCATCTGTGGTGACAGCTCTAGGCCTCCTTTTCCAAAGGCTCCATGGCTCTCCCCACTTCCCAGGTGGCTCTTTGTTTCTGCCGCTGCCCAGAGCACAGATGTCTGACGTCTCACCCAGAGATTTTCTCCTTGTCTGTCTCCCCGTCAGCCTGAGACCGGGCCAGTGGTGATGAAGGAAAAGGGGATGAGCCAGTTCTTCCCAGGCTTGGTTCTGTGTGCCAGGGGACAGCCCCCTCCTGAGCCAGGCGAGAATGGGGGCCTCTGGGGCTGTTGGTCTTTGCTGCTCCAGAAAAGATGAGGCGTGATAGGGGTGTACAGGACTAGCCCTAAGAGTCTCCAAAAGGGCAGGACAGAGAAGTCATTAGGGACATCCTAGCCTCTGAGACTGTCACTGAGCCATGACAACTTCATAGAGGGTTCAAGGTCAGAACTGCAGATGTCTCGCTAATCGATTTGTCTCAGTGGATAGAGCGTCGACCTGCTCACTGAAGGGTCCCAGGTTCGATTCTGGTCAAGGGCATGTACCGTGGTTGCAGGCACATTCCCAGTAGAGGGTGTGCAGGAGGCAGCTGATCAATGTTTATCTCTCATCGATGTTTCTAACTCTCTATCCCTCTCTCTTGCACTCTGTAAGAAACGCAATAAAATTTTTTTTTTTTTAAAAAAGAACAAAAAAATAAAAAGAACAGATGTCATCACTGCATCTGGGACACCAGACCCTCTGAAATGCAGCTGCTCGCCTCTGGCAAGTCGTTTTCCAGGGGAGTAGCAGGAGCGGGAGAAGGCAATTCTGCCGAAACCGCTTTGGCTCAGTGGATAGAGTGTCAGCCTTGTGGACTGAAAGTTCCCAGGTTCGATTCCGGTCAAGGGCATGTACCTTGGTTGCAGACACATCCCCAGTGGGGAATGTGCAGGAGGCAGCTGATCAGTATTTCTCTCTCATTGATGTTTCTAGCTTTCTATCCCTCTCTCTTCCTCTCTGTAAAAACTCAATAAAATATATTTAAAAAAAAATCTGGGTACCCCTGGCTGAGTGTCTGGGTACCACACTGCTCTGGGCATCTGGTGGGCCCCGGGGAGACAAGCACCATGGAGGACCCCATAAAGGGGCTAAAATTATCAAAGGGTCAGGGGCCACAAAGCCGGAGGAGTTAGGGGAAGTCTTAATGCCTTTGACACATCTGCCACCCCTTCCAGACCCACCCGGCTGGCTTGCTGTGTCGTTGCACAGTCACTGAACCCTCCCCTCCCAGGCAGAGCAGCTGCCTTCTCTTCTGCTCCCAGCAGGAGCCCAGCTGTTCCTGAAGCCGTGTTGGAGGAATTCCTCTATCACTTCCTCCAGGAAGCTTTTCTTGACCCCTAGATTTGCGCCGGGCCTCCCGTTATGTGGTCCCATA